ATGACACATTGAAGTCGGACTGGGATGTGCTTCAACAAATTGAAGAGACTTTTCGAAAGGCTCTCAGTGTCCAACAATGGAGCACATCAAGAGCCACCAGGACAAAGATAGGGCTATTGAGACCTTGCGACAAAGGCCCAACTCAATTGCAAAGCAGACAAGCTGGCCGGTGCCTTTATGGCTACACACAAGGGAGTGGATCATACAGTGGTGCTTCGGTTCCCCGTGAACCTAGCACAGTTGCATCTTCCCGGCGGGACCTGCACATACAAGGTGCCACGCACCCTGAGGGATCTACGCAATGATCCCGCAGTGCTGCAGAACATGGTCCAGAACAACACTCAATGGGATGATACCACTCCAGATCTGATTGATTGGACAGCCCATGGCAGGGCAGTCAACAGGCACGAGACCAGAAAAACAACACTGGTGAAGCTTTTGTTTGACATTCTTCCAGTGGGCAAAAGGGGTCCACAAGTATGATGCCAAGTACGATCATCGGTGCCCACACTGTGGTGGCGACAATGAAACAGCAGCCCATCTCTACCTGTGCACTCATGAAGATCCAACACTGTGGAGGACAACCAGGCAGTCAGGCTGTCAGCAAACAACTGTCGCAAATGTGATACTGATCCATCCCTGTTAGCCATTGCTTTGCAAGGGCTCGAGTGCTTCTTCGCAGGAAGCATCTTTACCCATCTGAGTTCCCAGAAAGGTATGATCAAAGCTGGTCATCGACCAGAAACCACATTGGGTGGACAACTTACCTCAAGGCCGACTCTCCCAATTGTGGACCAAGCACCAGGGAGACTATCTCCATCATGTTCAAAAGCATACATCCAAGACAAACGGTACCATATGGACTACCAACTTGGCTCATCTCTTACTCCAACAATGTTTTCTACTGTGGGATGACCGCAATGCAGCAAGGCATGGACGTGATAAACAGCAGCAGTGGATCAAGAAGCAGCAACAGCTTCAACGTGAAGTAGAGCTTCTGTATGAGCAGGAAGACCAGGTGCCACTGTCTATTGTCAACTCCATTTTCAAAAGGCCACTAGAGGACAAAATGGAAATGGCACCGTCCGATATCAAAGCCTGGATTTCAAATTGGATGCCAGTGGTGGACAAAGCAAGTAGAGAGCACCAACAACTGGCCGCAGCCATCCATGAGGCAGCAGCAAATTTGGATCAGGCTTTCGGGTATGACCTTGATTTAGATGACAGCAGTTTTGACACTATCAGCAATATTGCAGCTAGTAGCAGTGCTGTTGACAGCAGCAGCACGGGCGGGTCCGGTTGGTGACCTTCCCCTTAATATCTTGCCTCGGTTGGGTTTTAAGCTTTCCCGGCTGAGGGGGCCAACTCTCCCCGCCCCAATGTTTGTGGAGGTTATCGGTTTAGGGTAGCGGCACGGTTGATAGTCGTACTCAGAGTAGCCTTTAAAAATAGAATTCTATTATCCAGTAAGTGTAAAGATCTTTCGGGGGAGTGTTTATGAGTTTGAGAAGAATGAAAGTTATGAGAGAGATTAGAAAGCTATGAAATCTAATCAACGAGATAGATCATCATCAATGGATTGTAGATCTGGCTTCCCGTGTGAGACTATAAAGTGTGTTTGAGTAGGTTGCGGTAGTAGTCATACGTATCTCAACGATCCAAAAACGTAACGTGTGGAAGATTCGTTTAGCTTTTATCTAGTAGCGTGTAATTACTCCACGCTGGCTAATGATCTAGAGCGATGTTTCATCATCAATCCAGTATGACTAGCGCGGTCATTGAGACCACTGTCTCAAATGACTAATCAAGAGAGACTCAGTCATAAGTCGAACTCAAACCTATCTAGGATCGAGTCGCGAATAAGGTCAAGAGCCGTGTATTGCATTCGCCCCTGCGCCGAAGCGCGCGGTCGCGAAACATATGATTTAAAGTGCGGGGCACTCTCATGAGAATTTGGATGTAGACAGGTGCGTCGCACGATGGAATCCTACAAGGGGGATCAGGCCCTTGTATGGTGTATATACCTTATGTTCCGAGTATGGTAGACTGTGCCGCCGTTGGCGGTAGCTGGTTGGAGCCGTACAGTGCATTGTCATTGACTCGGTCTAAAGTGTAAGGACCTTTGTACTTTGGCCGACACCGTACTTGCTGGTCTGATACTGTTGAATCATCCAGGTATCGTTGACATTGTATTGATGAAGGACACGCGTCGCGTTTTCCCTGTCGTTGTTTTTGGATTAGTCGTTGGCGACTTTCCTTAATGTACTTCCAGTTTGCGTTCAAACCGGACGTTGTGAATCGCGTCACGATTGAAAACAAGCTGTGCAGGCGTTGCACGCAGGGTGGTATAAATCGTGGCATTCATTGCAAAGCGAACCGCCGTGAGGACTCCATCACAGGATCCATTCACGAGGTCTTCTTGGCACTTGATGTTTGAACAGCGATCAAGTTACGTATGGTTGAGGAGCACGCTCGACCATAGAGTTGCCTTGAGGGTTACGCGTAGTGATGAAATTGCGACGAAGTCCATATTCATCCGGAGTGTCTTTTCGACCTCTGCGCGGAACTCAGGTCCTCTATCCATGATAACCTCAGCAGGCTATGGATACCGAGTAAGCCACGTTTTGTTCTAGGACGATGGGGACTTCGTCTGCTGGCTTGGAGCAGATCTCTGCGAACTCGAACCATCCGGTTACGGGATCAATCATTGTCAAGCAATGATGTGTGCAGGAATTCTTTTTCTTAGGATCCGCGACGTTGTAAGGTCCTATCAGGTCAATACATAGTCTTTCCCAAAGGGATCTCCTCGCAAGTCTTTGGAGGCATCAAATCCCAGCTTACGCGCTTTGGGTTTGTTCATCTGACAGCTTTTGGCAACGCTGACATCCGGCCTGCACAGTCTTGCGTAGTCCTTTCCAGGTGTAGCGTTGGCTGATGGTTAGTTCTGTGCGAGTCTCGCAAGGATGCATCAGCACACCATGATACCAATTAACTAGCTTCTTCTGCATTGTGTTAGGTACGACGATTTTATCGTCCTGAACTACTAAGTAGTAGGACTTATCCCCTCTGGGGAAAGATTGCTTCTTAGTCGTTTGGCTGTCCCCTAGGAGCTTCTTGATATCGTTGTCGTCTTTCTGACGATGTTGGATCTCAGGGAACGAGAGAGGAACTCGCTAGGGAAAAGTCCTCTTCGTCTGCAGGCATGAGTTCAGCGACTCGCTGGCGTCCATCTGTTCTGAAAAACCATCATTGTTGGAGACGTTAAGTCTCGACAACGCATCAGCGACGATGTTTGGTTCGCCCTTGATTAACCGTAGTTCAGGGCCGTATCTTTCCAGAATAAGGCGCCACCGCTTAACGCGATCCGTGTATTTGAGTTCTTACATGTAAGATTCCTGTGGTCCGTATGTACAAAAATCTTCTGACCCAGAAGAATGTTACGGAACCCTTTTAGAGTTTCTACGATTCTGAGAATTTCCTTCTCGTTAACTGTGTAGCGTGTCTGACCAGGGTTGAGCTTCCTGCTGTAAAACGCGATATGTTTTCCCTTCTCGGAAATTACTGCACCTAGTTGAGTGTAACTCGCATCCGTGTGGATAAAGAATTTATCGTTGAAGTCAGGGTAGGCGAGCAGGTTCTTCTTGCCTGATGATCTTCTTCATCTGGCTAAAGGCCTTGCCGTGTTCAGAAAGGGTGCACCAATTCCACAGTGGAACTGCACCCAAGCTAACGCCACCTCGCTCAGCTCCCCAATATCAATGTTGTCACGGGTTCTCCAGTGCTTGATAAATTGCTGCACTAAGCCGAAAGATCTTTACACTAGCTTTTAGCGTAGTGCAAGTTACCTGCCGGTCATGCTGGCTTTAAGGTTGTGGACCCTCATTTGCTCTGCTACTGGTGCTTCACTATGACTGGAGTTAGTCTCTGCCGGAAGATCGAACGTCGTACCTCTACTTTGTGAGGCGCGAAAATGTGGAGGGAAACAGAGGTACGCATGTTAAGTCTCCGATGTTCCGCAAGACTCCAACAGAAGCACAAGAGTTAGGTGGCAATTTTTGAATTACTGTGCTGGTTACTGTACTCCGACGATTTCTCTAAGTCTTTGTCTTGTATAAAAATTTCAGTACTTTGGCGATAAAACCTGACTCGCTCCAAGCCATAGTTAGACTTGCGAGAAGACGCAAATTATCTATGAGAGCTACAAGAGGAGCTATACCCTGCTGCTAGCAAAAACCAGGCAAAGAAGCAGGCAGCGAGAATTGGTGCTATCGCGCGAATGTTATCTCACGGCAGATCTTGCACCTCTACGGCAGATCTCGTTTGTGTGATACTGTACCGGTTGCTCCAAGAGGTGCTACCCTGCTGGTAGTAAAAGCATGCAAGTATACCGGCAAGCAGGCTGCGAGAGTTGATAATGTCTTTTAGTCTACCTGATCACGCAGATTTGCAGTCTGTGTAGCCGTACTACACTGTAGTGCTTGGAAGCGGGAGCAATCCATCCTCGAATCCTACTAGCCAGCTAGGAGGAAATATACATGAGGAGGGGTTACTATACTTCGACTTAACTACCAGGTATGGTGAGGAGGCGGTGCAGGGAGAGAGCACGATGCACAAACGCGAGCAGAGCAATCGATCGAGTGAGCAGAGCAGCAGCAAAACCAAAGAGGGAGGGGATGCAACGTGGGGGGCATGGAGGATCAAGGGAGGAAGACTAGCGGAAGAGATCAAGGGCACAACGGTCATCCCAATGCTTGGAAAGCTTGATAGCTGGAATACAGGAGCCTCTTTTAAAAGCACATGGTATAGCAGCCCGCTAGGAGGAATTTAGAACGGAATCGTGCATGCTTATCGTTATCCGGACGTGTTTCGGTATACGTACTCCGTACATGTAATGGCTCTATACTCGCCCTTCGTTCAAAACTATTGTTTCACACTTTCTTTTGTCGGTGCAGGTTGGGAGGCAAGAAACCTGGGAAGCCCACTAAATTGCAGTGCGAAACTGAGATACAGAAAATGAATCACTAAAGACTAAATAGAGGTACTGATGTTCCAATTTCAACCACGGACGGCAAAGACGAGACCTCCCATCAAGATGGATAAGTCGATCACTGACATGCTGTTCTTGACCGACACCCCACTGCTCGATTCCAAAGTTTGGTCCATGCTGGGAAGCTCTCCTTCATCTTCCGATGGCTCATCAACGATTGGAGTCTCTCCTTCGTCTCCCCCATTACTGTCAACTTTGTCACTACCCATACTGTCAACTTCGTCACCACCCATAGTACTGTCAACTTCACCCATACTCTCAAACCTTGATTCAATGAATTCTTTTGAATCCCTCATGGTATTTGACAGCAGTTCAAACGAGAATTGACTGCCCACATAGTAGATGCCATCCTCACCCTGCAATGCATCCACTTGATCAAAGAAGCCAGCCGCAAAGTCATCAACGCTCACTTGGGGATAGTAGTTGGTCCATTCCCGCTGGAGAACGACCTCCGTCACATTGGCACCCCAATAGAACTGGAGGTCAGCCGACAATCTATCACTCAAATCAGAAAGGGAGGCATCTGGGCTGGCAAACTGGTAGGCAGTTGCGGCAACATCACCTGGATTTGCTGTCCAAGGAATCAAAGAAATGCTGTTTTGGTTGGCTTCGTAGGTGCCAGCAGCGTAAAAGTCAAGTGTGCTGGTAGTGTCGATACCTTCCTGTTCAAAAATGGTGGTGATGTAACGAAGAGTGAACAGCTTGGAGAAGAGCTCATCCACTTCAGGTGCCAACATCATCATGGATCGAACAAGGTCCAGAGTTGTGGCAAAGATAACCTTGTCATAAGTCTCAGTTGGCTGGCCATCAGCTTGAACTTCAAGGCCATTGTCCATCTTCTCAACCTTCGTCACAGGAGCACTCAATCGGACGTCTTCCAGTGTTGCAGCCATGCCTTCCGCCAGAGATTGGGCCCCACAAGGAAAGCCAATAAAGGGAGATTTCTTCTGGGTGACAGATGAAATGATTTTCATGACTGAAGCAGCAGGGATTTTTTCAAAGTATCCATACCCGTACCCAGAAATAAAGGGTCGAAGTGCTTCCAAGTAGATGCTGAACCCATGCTTGGCAGCAAAGTCAGTCATGGAAAGAGCAAGGTCAGTGTCAGCTTGCCCCACAAGGTTGGATTTCTGGATGTGCTCGATAAACATTGCCACAGAGGCACCAAAATTTTGGACTTGTTCCATCGCCACACCTCCAATCTCAATTTGTGTGGCATTGGGGTTTGTCTGTTTGATCAACAACCCAAGGTATTCTTGTGGAGTGAGGCGCATGCTTTGGTCCCCCAATGAAACAGTCACCAAGTCCTCAAAAATGACGTGTCCATATGGAACACCCAGCTCCTCAGCATACATCACCGGCGGGGATGCTCCAGGTGTGGCAGCTCCAGTCAGAGTGAGAGCTGCACCAAGATTTGTATAGTTCTGAAGTCCGCAATATTCTGTGGCTGCTGCTTGTAGCTCTTCTGTCATGTTCAGATAGTCAATGGTGGGTGCTCCAGGTGCCAGCTGCACCGACTGCATCTTGCCTCCAACGTAATCAAGTGCTTCATAGACGGTGACAGAGTATCCACCCTTCTTTTCGAGCTCATAGGCAGCCGTCAGTCCACTGATTCCACCACCAATGACAGCAACACGAACCGGCTGCTGACCCTGACAAAGCACAGCATGGTTGCAGTGGATAGCCACTGATAGGAGGGCGGTTACAGATAACGAAAGTTTCATGGTACCTTGATTTTTTTTGAACGTGCTATTGATTTGCTTCACAACTTGATTTTATGATTTCCTTGCTGGCCCAAGCAGCCAGTTGCTTCGATGAATTCAAAGTTGGCGTCGTGTTAGCTTTCTCAACTCATTGCTTTGTGTTGCTGTATTTCCTGCTCAGCCGCCATAAAAACTCTCGCCGTCGCGATCGTGTAATCCTTCTCAGCGGACTTATCTTGGTTGGCGTTTCCCTGGAGTCAATCTCTGGGGCTGGGGTAATAGCTTTTAGCAAAGCAGAAATGGCCCTTAGAAATGTAAAGAAACTTACACATAGCTTTAACCCAAAGTTTACCTGAACTCACGTCTTTACTGAACTCACAGGATATTAACGCTTGTCCTCGAATCATTGCCGACATCAACTCCCCCACAATTTGGTTACCACTCCCACGGCTCCCCGTAATCTGCACAGAACCGTGGAACAGGGGAAGTCCGGGCAATCGTTGCATGATCACTACAAACGATCGAATTCGGAGTAGACTGCGGATGAAAGAAAGCGGAACCTACTGGCTATTTCAGCTGCTAGCTAGTGCCCTTGAGCGGAATGCTTAGGACTTAGAAGGAGCAAAGATGAAGTCGAAAAATTTGTAGCTATGAGGTTGGGAGGCAAGAAACCCGGGAAGCCAGCACTGGCTCTTTTGAGCCTTTGAGACAGAAAGATTCTGATTCGATTCGATTCTACTTTTAGCAGTCTCGCTGATGGCGAATGAGCTGAATTGAGCCTCCGGCAAACAATGCCAAGTGTCGTTTTGGTTGCGGTTGGCAGTGAGTGAGCATTGACTACGTACTACAATGATAGCTCTGGTTGTTTGTTGCCGCAGGATGGACAGTGCACTGCAATACCTGGGATCTTCGCCCCGCAGAACATGCAAAATTTGGTCTCTGGATCCTCCTTCTTTACGCTGTCGTTTGGTTGTTGCTCTTTGGATTCTACCACGACTTCTGCTGCTGCGACGATGGGGTTTGCTTCTTCGGCGGTGCTTGTAGCGGATTGAGGTTGGCTCTGTTCCTGCCATTGGCGCAAGACACCGGGCAACTCTTCAAAGTTGTCAATGACAGCATCGGCAAACTCTTGTTGAATCGATGCCGTGAGATAGTCTTCCGCTCCCACGGCCATTTTGACAACGGCCTGACTATTGACTTTCTTTTGAAATTCGACTAGTTTTTGTTCCTCCGACGGTTGTTGATTGTACTGTGCGGCAATGGTTTCTTCTTTGGATGCTTCCAGTTGTGGTTTTGCTTTTGATACTTTTTGTGTTTGCAACTTGTCCAGGATCAATTCCCGCGCCCAAATGGTTCGTAGATTGATATTTTTGGCGGCCACAATATCCTTGGCAAAGTCATCGCCCACGTGAATCCACCAGGGGCCTACCCAGTCGTCCAAATCGACAGCACTATCATCCGTGCCGTCTTTTTCTTGCGATAGCTTGGCATGTACCATTTCCATGGCTTTTTGATAAACTCGTTTGTCTGGTTTGGAGACTCCCACTTGCTCGGCATTGACACAAAAGTCAAAAAAGGGTTGCAGCGCCGGGACATTGCGGGGATCGGAATTGCCATCGGTAATGGCACCGACTATGACAATGTCGTCGTTGTTGTATATTTGTTCGAGTACCGCCACCACGTTGGTGGCATAGTTGTCTGGAATGGCGGCATACCGAGCGTCCATCCACTGTGTGATTACGTGTGTGTTTGGAGAAGAGTGTGGATTGTCGAGTCGAGTCGAGTGTACAGAAAGTGCATGGCAACGGAAACAAAGGAGATTCTGATTGAGCATGAACGGATTACAGATAGAGTAAATGTCCATACAAAAAGCTCCAGCAGTTGTTTTGGTCTCACCTTTTGAAATGCCTTATCGGCAAACTCCTTGGCATCCAGTTCCGTGTATCCATTATCCGTGATGAGTATCTGTTGCAGAGCATCCTTTCTCAATTCCGTGAGCAAGACGGGTGATTTGGCGTTGTTGTTGTTGTCAGTCAAGGGACAGTATTTGTGCTTGTCCGCCTGAAAGAGTTCCCCCATGATGGTTTCGGTGCGTTTGGATTGGACAATGTTGTGTGTTGTCAAAAAGGCCGCCAATGCGTCATTGGCCGCTGAAATGGTGGCCCCCGTATTCCACAAGGTATTGTCCAAATCAAACGTCACCACTCGGACCGGTGAAGACGGTACCGTGGCATCCAAGGCATCCATAGCATTCGGATTCATCATGGCTTCTATCCGATCTCGGCGTCTGAAAAATGAAAATAGAAGATAGTCAGACAGAAAACACAGATAGTGCAGTGTGTGTCGTGGAGCAATGCTAAAGTATACTACCAGTAGACTACTAGCTAACAAGCAAGAAAGAATGCCACTTACACTTGTCCTTTTTGATAAAGTTGATCCCAGCGATTCTGATCGTCTTCTGATAATTCTTCGCTGTCTGCACTGCTGGAAAATACTCGGAAAGCCGAGCCGTATCTAGCTGCTTGTACCTTCAGTGCAAGACTTTGGGTGGACCAGCCGTGCACTAGCCAAACGGCAGAGTTCTGGTAAGAACAGGTAGTAGCTAGACAAAGCAAATGAAACGGCCGAATCAGCTTGATGGACCGTCGACGGAGGACTCTATAGAGCGACATAGCATGGGAGGACTGTACTATAGCTCTGTGGCGATCAATGGAGGTGGACTCGATACTCGATGGTGGTCTTCGTTGCGGTGGCCATTGCGATTGCTTCGGTGCTTTGGTTTGGAAGCATCGGCAGCAAATGACGTCATTCAAACTCTCATTCGTGCAAGAGATCTTTCACTTTATCCTCTACCCTAGTGTTCAAAAAGATACATGTTCTGAAACAAACCTTGGGCCTTCGGAATTTATTCGTCAAAAGCGAAGAAGCATCCTCATTCACTGGCAAAGCTAGACTTCGTACTGTACCACATGGATACTCATTTCAACCCATTTAGACTATACCAGGTATCATCTTTACTGCAAACATTCTAGCTGAGTTTTAGCCTAATTTTGGCCGAGCGTTTTGGCAGGGGCAGTTTCGCACTGCCCAAAGATGAACAAATTTTGAGCCCAACCACCTTTGCTCGTACTCCTCCTTCTTCTTGTCCATTGTGGACTAGTCTTTTTCTTTTCTTTAATTGCCTGTTTCCTTGCTTTCTTCTTTTAGTTGTGCGCTCTTCTTTGGTTTGTCCTCCTTACGCTTTTTTGTGTGTATTCCGAATGCTCCTTCAATTGGACAACAACAAGGCCAAAGGAATGATAAGTCGAACTCACAGAGAAATTTGCACTCTGGAATGAAAGAATGCTTGGAGGAAGCTGTGTTTTGAAGAAATTAATGAACATTTTATGCATTTAATAATGTATTGTATATGTGTGACCACAACCTGACCTGACAATCACCCAGCTCTTCACAAACCAAAATTGTTCTTCGAGGAAAGGCAGCACTGGCTACCAGTAGGGCTAGCCAAACAAGCGACGCAGCGAATGCATTTTGGGGTTCTTTTACCATGCTATTCAGTGGGTTGTTTTTCGTTGATCAAACAAAATTTCCAGGTACCTAGAGGGAATTCTTGGATTGGTTCTGTCTGAGGAGGCATCGCATGGGTTGGTTTTGTAGTTTGTACCGGTAGTACCGGTATACATGTAGCTTCATGATATGAGTTAGTTTGGCTCGTACTCGACCCTTCCCGAGTCTCCAAGCAAGGTGACTCCCTTCCATCCATTCAATGAATCTCCCTTTCTCGGTTGCACATTCTGCACCTGTCTTCCCGGTACCATCATGACATAGTCGTCCATTTTGGAAGGGGTGAACCAAACGGCTGGTCGGTACGTCACAGCTTGATGCTTTCGAGCTCTCCAGTTCGCAACGGGGCTCGCAATGCCAAACGAACTCCGTCTCAGATCCGCCGAACTACTACTACTTGTGGTGCTCGATGATGGACTCCTGGTGTTACTACTGCTACTTGTACTAGCAGCACTGCTGCGTCGACGTCTGCCAAACACCATCCTGCGTCCAACTTTGGCGGTCAAAACAAGTTAACCACTCTTTTCTGATGGCGTGCACCTCTTCCAGCTACATGTAGTTGTCTTCAAGTACTCTACTAGTAGCTAGCCAGCTCTAGTAGTCTAGCTAGCGCAACCAAGGGTAACAGTCGAATACCATACCCAAAGAAAGCGAGGAGCGTGCTGTTGTGGTCGTGGTCGTGAAACGTGAACAACTGACGGTCCGTGACAGCTGGAAGTCCCCCGATTGGCGATCGTGGAAAGTCGCGAAAGTCGTTAAAGTCGCGAAAGTCGTTAAAGTCGCGTCTAAAGTCGCGTCAAGTCGCGCGACTTTGCGAAAGTCGCGAAAGTCGCGGTACAAGTCGTTGAAAGTCGCGATTGATCACTGGTAAAATGCTAGGAAAGTCGCGAAAAGTCGTGAAAGTCGTGAAAGTCGCGGTGAAAGTCGTTCCAAAGTCGCGCGACTTTCCAAAGTCGCAAAAGTCTTGAAAGTCGCGCGACTTTCGCGACTTTCACAAGAAAGTCGTTATCTCATTAATCGGGGGACTTCCTGATGAAATGCGACCTAACGCTGATCTTCAACGTGGAACCTAAGCGTGGAATGTTTCGAACAAATCTCCAGCTCGGAGCGAAAACGTTGTCAAGGAGCGGAGACCACTCGACTCGACGAGAACACAATTTGCATCAACAAGGCTAGTTCCAAGTGAGAGTGCGCCTTGGCTTGTCAGAATTGCTACCGTCGCTAGCTAGTGGTAATCAAATGTCGTCAACTTTCTCCATCAGATTCCTACACCAACTTTTGACCAACAATGTGGATCACGATATTATTATCCCAGAGGAAGTCAACATCGCAAGTGATACCGATCCGAGATCCGGCACGGCCCCCAGCGAAAATGAAGGAAACGAAGCTTGCGACGAAAACTGGCACATCATCCGACAACTATTGATTCGCAAAGCACATGGCTTTAGGGCTGGATTGACTTTCCTTCACCAGAGCTTTCTACCAATGCTCTTGACTATTGACATTACCGCAGCATTTCTCAATGTGTTTGTTTCCAACTACTTTGGACACGCGCATCACGGTCAGAGCCGTCTACGACGGCTCATCGACGCACTTCACCTCATCGAAGACTTTGTACGCGGCGTTGTGAACGGAAAGACCATACAACTCCTGATGTTCGCGGATTGTTTCCATCCTGGCGGGCAGTCGTCGATGGCAGATGAATTGTTCAATAGTGTCATCCGCGCCCCGCTGCTGGAGGAAATCATTTTTCGTCAGATCTGGTCGCTCCTGTACCAAAAAGTGGCAAATACAGCGGAAGGACCCTTTACAATGTTTGGGCACTCTTTATTTGCGCTGTCCTCGAGCCTGTTCTTTGGACTGGGGCATATCTCCAACCATACAGATGATTTTGATAAGGCGCTTGTCGATGCATATCCATCCTGGCAGTCGAGAGTGGTGCGCGCACTTCCTCGAATTCTTGTGGATGCAATGCAGCCTCAAACACTTCGCGAAGCACTTCCCGACGCACCACTTGCTGGCGCAGCACCCGCAGCTTTTATTTCTAAGACGGTGGTTCTTCCCGCATTTCTTCAAGTCTTTCAGTCTGCCGTTCATTCACTTTGGGTGTACTCGCCCCTGTATGAACAACATGGTGTTGTGGCATCATTTGCAGCACATGCCGCTTGGAACTTGCTTGCCACGGTTCCCGCGGTCCGATGGGGCTACTATATTGTTGCTACTGCAGACTACTGGATGCGGATCTGCCGTGGTAACTTGGTGAGTGACGACGGAGAAGCCGATGGAGAGGAACTCGAAGCATTGACTGCGGATGTTTAGGTATTCGGGGCCTAATGATGGAGTACCGTACCACCAAAGCGGCGGGTGCATGCATGAGCATTTTAGCCATATAGTGTGTTTAAATAGTACGGTAGAGTCGTGCAGTAATGCCTGCCTCTGAAACTAAGGTATCCTGACCGTACAGGGAAAGATCTTTTGTTCTGGGTGTTCCACTGCCAGGGGTACGCAGCCGAAATTTTCGTTTCCCCCCAGAATGCATCGCTTGCCTGGCCTTCTAACTGCGTCAAAAGATCTTCATCGGATTCGATTCCTTGACAATGGTGATTGACTACAGTCGTTGGGACAACCTCAAACTCTCTGATGACGAAGACGAAGACGAGGCTCCACCGAATCTGACCAACGTAGTCGATACGAGGAGTGCAGCTCGTCCGCCCCAGGAGTCAGGCAAGAAAGCGGACTCATCTCTATCAAGAGAACAAGTGGATTTTCTCCCAAAGTATCTGATACTGGTCCACAGCAAGATCCGTGACACTGTGCTCTTACAGATGAAGGAGAATGGTCTCCAGTATGCGAATCCTGTTGGCCTCTATGGTATCTCCCTTCCAACTTCGTTCGGTCCTCTGGATGTCATGTCATTTAGCAGCTTCTTTCCTGGATCCGGCTACGACCGCGGATGCAAGATCGTAGCTTCCTTGCTTTCCATGAGCACTGAGGTTTACATGGAGATTATTGGCAACAGGGAGAGGAGCATGGGATTGATGGCAGCTGTCCCGTATGACGCTCAATTCCTTGGCGATCCTGTCCCGTTCGGGTCGAGCGCTCTTCATGTACGGTACGGACAAGAAAGGCAAGGACTCTACAAAAAGGTTCCCGGACCAGAGTTCAAAGAATGCAAGATGGGTCCTCTATGTGGCGGCCCGATTGTTCTAGTGCAAGCCAAATCCCAACGAGGTCCTTTTGACACTGAGGCGTATGTCATTGAAAAAGTAAAGGTGGATGAGATGGACATTCCAAAGGTTGTCACCAAGCTGCTCGATAAGCCTAATGCGTACTACTAAAGCAGTTTGAAAGAATTGCTCTTTCAATAGCTGCTTGGACCTGTGGCCCCTGAGAAACTAAGGCGATAGAAAGAAAACTTGAAAGCTACAGGAACGATGAGTATACTAAAACGAGCAAACATACATAATAGCCAATTGGGTTGTCGAGTTTTGACTCCTTTCGTTTGAATTTAGTGCGCTACATGTGTGGATACAAGTAATCGTGGGGTGTGTGAGGTGACACGATGGTCAATGTACTCTTGATTTTGCTTGATGGCTGGAGATACCGGTACTGCCAATTTTAAGATTGACAGCAAGTGTCATGCGAAAGCACCTGCTACAGCATGTTGGTTTCTAGTATCTCCCCGTTGTGCTAGAATGAATTTTTTTATGCAGATACAGCTTCTGGCTTCTTTTGCTTGGCCACAACATCAGCGACAGCATCTGCCTCAAATTTCTCCTTGAAGGCAGCAAAATCACCAGATCCTCCCGCTGCATCGTAGGCAAGCTTGGCGGCAGCATCATAAGGGACACTAATGTCCACAACTGGCTCTGGTTCAGGTTCCTCCTCAGCGGGTGGGGCATTCTTGGCAATGACATCAGCTACAGCATCTGCTTCAAATTTCTCCTTGAAAGCAGCATAATCACCGGAACTGCCGGCTGCTTCGTAAGCATTCTTGGCGGCAGCATCGTAAGGAACACTAATGTCCACAGGTGGCGCATTCTTGGCAATAACATCAGCGACAGCATCGTCCTCGAACTGGGTCTTGAAGGCAGCAAAATCACCGGGACTTCCTGCTGCTTCGTAGGCGAGCACGGCAGCAGCATCATAAGGGACAGAGATATCGACTGGCTCCGGTTCTTCTTCCACAACCTTGGCAGCTTCCTCCATTTGGCTAATGAACTGGTCCTTGGAAGCAGTGGTGGAGCGCTCAGCGTGATCCATAATCACCTTCAAAGTGAGCATCAAATCCTCCTCCTTGGAGCTGGCAGCACCGGAACGTCCATTGAGAGCAGTGGTGGGTCTGCTTTGGTACACAGGTGCAAAGGCAGTGGCACCTTGAAGGGCCAACAGGGCGGCAATGGCTACTTTCATCATGGTTCTAACTAAGGGGTCAGGCTATCTATCTGGATCTGGAATAGCTAGAGTGACACTCGAGGGTGATCGAGATGGCAAAGGAATGTGGTTGAAGTTGGCCGCCCATCATCCGCTCCTCATGGCCGCCATTGTTTCTTTCAAAAACACACGCACGCAAAAGGACTGACGTATGAAAACGAATATTTGTCCCGTTTGGGGACAAAGATCAAAACCTGAGCTCTATTGTGACAACGATCAAAGCCTGAACCCTACGTTTTGGCACTAGCCAAGCCCACACTGTACCGGTACCGTACTACTAGTACTGCCAGCTCGAACCAAGGAAACCGCGGTCATGGATCCTGTAGTGTGACAGTCCAGTCACCCGTAGCAGTCGAGTTGAGTGCACTCGCGACAGTCCTGTCAAGTGTTGACCAAAGAAACAAGAGCTGAACCAAGCATGCCTGGTGCAGCTCAGGGAGGTGTGCTGGTATCTGGTATCCTCTTTCAAGGTCTTTGCAATAGTGACCGCCCTGGACCTGTTTGGGATCCACGTTAATTGGAGGACAGACATTTTTAATCATCCAGGAGAAGCGCCCTCGACCTCTATGGTAGCGCTATAGTCAGTCCCTGCTCTCTCCATCCTCTGGCTCTGTTTATTCTCCTTGCCCTCTCGATCCTGCCTGACGCCCCCTTCTGTTGGCTCTCTCATTTGTTTTCATTCCCGCCCACTCGACCATTGCTCACGATTCACCCATACATCGTAGTCACCTCTAACACATCGTAGCAATTAATCTGTTTCCAAGAAAAAGAAAGAGCAAGATGGAAGAAGAAAACCCTGCTGACATTCCGAAGAAGATGAATCGATCCAATGAACACCATGACGACAATGCTCAAGGTAGAAGCTCCCGAGGCACTGGGCATCCGCCAGATCAGCTTGATCAAGCAGTAATGGATAGCCTCATCAAGCGAGCAGAGGCAGAAGCGGTACAGCAGTACCATGACGAAGATTCGGATGCCATGAAAGCTCAAGTAGAAGACAAGAAGCAAGTCACCCAGAAAAGGGAGACCAAGAGTACGCCGAGCCATGGAAAAGGCAGCCAAAAAATGCAACAGCAGCAACTAAAACATGATGCTAAATATGAAACCAGGAAAGGGGAACAAGATGAAGCATCAGAAGAAATCAGGAAAACCGTGGCAGAACAAGCCGGACGAGCAATGGCACAGCATTTAAGCGAAGAAGAAGAAAACCTCAAGAAATCATGCAAAACCACTCCCAATGACAATATCCTACAGACATCAGCAGGAATCAATGAGACTGGCAAAATGAAATTTCTGGCAAACAAATCTAAGGAGGCATGCAAAACCACTCCCAATCAACAAGTCTTGCAGATGGCAACAGAAATCAATGAAAGTGCCAAAATGGACAAGCTGACAAAGAACGCACATGAGGCAACAGAAAGAGAACAACTAGGAAATACCCAACAAGGAGATACAATCCAGCAAACCACAATGTATCAGACAAACCAACCGTCACCCCGACCAGGAGCGTACATGGGAGCTCCAGGGGAAGCCTTGCTGCGTGCAAACACTCTCCGGTTCTCACTTGTAGGAGCCAGTGGATCTACGGGTCAGAGTGCTTTGGTACAAATGGATGGTGCAGAATCTGATGACTCCACGTCTATTGCAGAACCAATCACTGTTTCGACCAGCACCAACAATGAAACTAGTGACAACCAGCAACTGGCAGTGGCCAATCCAGTCCTGGATGATCCTGATGAGGAGCAAATGAGGCCAATGGCCAATCCAGTGAATCTTCAAGAAGTCGAGGAAAGAGAACAAAAACAGAAAAGAGTGAAGCAGTTGTTTGTGTTATTTGTGGTGATACTGATCATTGTGGCAGCCATTGTTGTTGGCACAGTTGTTGGAACACAACGGAACGAGGAGCCAGACATTGTTGTTATTCGGTCCACCGAGACACCAACCATTTATGGTTCCATGGAGCCTTCCGCAGCACCATCATCAGCCCCCACAGGCGTTCTGGAGTTGCTCTTGGATAATCTACCGATTCAAACATTGGCTAGGATCAACAATGGCAGTGAAACTCCTCAATGGAGAGCATGGCAATGGCTTGCAAACCACCAAAATGTCACCTGGCTACCAGAATGGAGAAAACAGCAGTTGTTTGCTCTTGGTGCATTCTACTATTCATTTGAAAGAGAAAAGTGGAATCCTCTCATAAAGGGACATGGTTGGATGGATGACACAGTGGAAGAGTGCAACTGGTTCTCCAGTGGATTTGGATTCTTCCATAAAGGAAAATTCGTCCAATATGGCGAGAAGTTTCCCTGCAACAGCCATGGCAAATTCACCTCTCTTTGGTTGGAAGACCTCCAGGTTTCTGGTTTGGCACCTTCAATTCCACCAGAGATCACCATGTTTGACTTCCTTGTCCCACATTGAGTTCGTTAATAGTGAGATTGAGACATCAATTTCATCTCTCTTACCAGCAGAATTGTATGAGATGACTGCATTGACTGGTTTGCTCTTTCTCAATGAACAATTGACTGGCCAACTCCCAAGTGAGCTTGGACAACTCACTGGTTTGTATCAGTTGTCTTTTTTTGAAAATCAGATATCAGGCCAGATCCCCTCTGAAATGGGACAGCTGATTGGTTTGACAATCTTGCATTTTTCTGGAAATCAGTTGACCGGGCCTTTGCCATCAGAGCTTGGACAACTCACGGCCTTGATCAGTTGTATTTGTATTTGAATCAACTTACTGGCCAGATACCCTCTGAAATGGGACAGCTGATTGGTTTGACAATCTTGCATCTTTCTGGAAATCAGTTGACCGGGCCTTTGCCATCAGAGCTTGGACAACTCACGGCCTTGGATCAGTTGTATTTGTATTTGAATCAACTTATGGCCAGATCCCTCTGAAATGGACAGCTGATTGGTTTGACAATCTTGCATCTTCTGGAAATCAATTGACCGGGCCTAATTCCATCACGAGCTTGGACACTCACGCCTTGGATCAGTCTTGATTTGATGGATACATCATTAACTGGCAGATTCCTCTGAGCTTGGACAGTGATTGGTTTGACAATTTGCATTTGGATGAAATCAATTGCTGGACCTGTGCCAATCAGAGCTTGGCACTTGCCAAATCTTGGTTCTTTGAATTACGGGTCTGGCCTTGGTTTCTGGCACAATCGCAGGAGCTTGCTTCTTGCGAATGTGTCTTGTACCTGATGGGCCGATTGGTGTGGTCTGAGCCCTGTCATCTTGGGTTGACTGTTACCTCTGTTTTGTGTGGCTGCGATTGTGCCTGTTCGAATTCTTCTTTGATGGGAGGATGAATATAAGATAAGTTTGAGCTTCGATTTACCAACCAGGTCAAAACTTTCTAGTAGCTGGTTTCCGTGGCGTCACCTTCAAAAGCCAAGACGCCCCACAGACTCCATCAATGTCCATCAATGGATCTCGTATTGTTTTTAACCCCGCCATCTCTTGCTGGGTCATCATACTGGAATAATATGTATGAGCAACACCAGGGGTAGCGACCCGTGCAATGCTTTCTAATTCGCCGCGAAGATAGTCGTGGTCCCATGCATGCTTGTCCCACGCTTGTCCCACCCAACATTGCGGATGGGCTTCTTGCCTCAAGAAGCCTCGTCGAACCTAGCTAGTTTCGGCGCGAGCTTTCTTGTGTCAACGTATCCAGACAAAACTAATCGGCGAAATACCATTGTGCATTGATATCTAGGGATCTAAGAGATGTAAAGTTTGTATTTCCAAATAAGTGAGCAGTTATTATTATTTTTGTAGAATAAGCCTGCAATTGTAAAGTCTGTAAAGCTGAATTGTAATCTGATCCCGTCGCACTCCTTACAGTCTAGAAATGAAGCCGGAGCAAGAACGATAGGAGAGAGTCGCCCAGCAAAGTGCCGAGGTAAATTACCATCCCATGAGAGGCTTTCGAATGACAGCAACTGTGGAAGCCGGAAGACCCTTAGTAAAAATGGCGGCCCGTTGTTGCCGAGTCGGATTGGATACTTAGCTCCGTGCCCTTCGACTCCCCGG